AAACAGAGAAAGGGAGTAGGGAGAAATGATGAGATGTAGCCAAAGAATACAAAGTGAGTGTGGTAGTTAACTGATTGTGTCAATTTGAGTAAGAAATGGGTGTGGCTGAAGGGATTTACTGAAGACAGAAGACCCTCCATAGATGTGAATGGAACCAACAGATAGGCTCATAGCCAGAATGGAATACAAGAGAAACAAGGAAGACTTGCTTCAGTTTCTTCAGGGGAGCTCCAGCTTTCACCTTCACCTTGGAAGTCATGTCCTGGCTTCCAGAGCAGTGTCTGCAGCTTCCAGCACAGACCCTTTGACCTTCTGGTAGGGACTTGCACAGAACACTATAGAGAGCTCCAAGATTTCTACCTTTGGCTGGATCCTTCAGATCTTGCACTTTAATACCTGACTCTGTGAGTGGCCACTGTAAGCTAATGTTGTAAATCCTTACATATTTATATATCTTGCATTAAATCTGTTTCTCTAGTAAGCACTGACTGATATAGACAGTTATATATGATGAATAAATCTAGAAATCTAAAGTGCAGCATAAGTACTATAGCATAAGTACTATTGTACTGTGTACTAGAAAATTTTCTGAGAGTGTAGATTTTAGGTGCTTTTACCAGTGAAAAGGGAAAATGTGAGTTGATGGATATGCTAAATTGCTTATCTGTGGTAATCATTTCACTATGTATATCAAAACATGTTTTACAGCCTAAATTTTTTTCATTGTTTATTGGTACTTTTTAGGTATACAGTACAGTTACATTCATCATGATGTATCTTGGTTCTAATTTTTTCCCCATCCCCCTGCCCTTCCTTTACCCTATCCACCCTTCCCTATTTACAAAGACTTTGTTTCCATTTTTTCCTTTTCTCATATTTTTTTCTTTTCCCTTCTTTCCTTTCCCCTCCCCTTCCTACTTTCCCTACTCCTTTAGCTCTTTTCTTCCTATTTCACATTATCAATTATACAATCTGAACCTTATTTATACTTAAGCTTTTCACACCAGAGAAAACCATTTGGTACTTACACATTACACCCTAAATTTTTACAACAAAATAAATAATATGCGAAAACAATATAAAATACAAAAAATATTCCTTTGTGAGATAATTTGCATCTTAAATGTCCCCCAAAGACCCATGTCTTAAAGACTTCGTCCCCAAGGTGGTGCTATGGAGATGTTGTAGAACCTTTAAGAAGTGGGATCTAGTAGGAGATTATTAGATCGCTGAAGGAGGGAAATGAGATCTCAGTCTCTTTTTCTTCCTTTTGCTTGCTGACCATGAGGTGAGCAGTTTTGCTCTATCACATACCCATGTTATGGTAATAGTGCCTCACCACAGGTCCAAAACAATGGGTCAACTGATCAAACCTAGAACTTCCTAAACTGTGAGCGAAAAGTAAACCTTCTCTCTGTATAAATTTGATACCTAAGATATTTTGTTACAGTCGTAGAAAATTAACACATAAGTGGAAAAAGACATTGCTCTGATGCTGTAGTCTTTGTCAATGTCTCTGTCACTGTCTAAGTAATATTGATTGTGGCGATTCCTCTGGATTTCCAGTAATACTGCATCTCAAATAAACATTCATGACCAAAGGGGTTAGCAACTAATTTGATGGGGTTATCGTTGGAAAATAGTATAGGCTATGTTACTGAAACAATGAAAGGACAACATTCACAAAGTCACCAGAGTCATAAAGATAAAAATATTGAGCATTGGGTTCTACAGGTTAATATTAAAGAATTAGATTTATTCCCCACCCCCGAAGAGTAAGGGAGTTCTTTATGGGTTTCATATACATAGGCTTTGAATTACAAAAGTTTGCATTTAAGAATTTCCTTGACAATCATACGCACTTTATCATTCATGACAGTTGCAATAGGTGAGGCTGTAGAGGCCACCCATCCAATTTGAATGGAATGGATCTCAATTTAGAATAGACTAATAGACATAATTTTATGTAAACTACAGGAGAATTTATAATGAGCAATAGCAGTAATAGAACAGATATTTTTCAATCACTTCCTCAAAAAGCTAAAATGTAATCTCAAATCTCTCAAAAATATTTTAAAAAGATGCTCATTAAATCTCAGAAAACTACATAGATCTATACCTTTGATTTGGTCATTTCTCTGCACAATTGTGCACAATTAATAAAACACTTTAGTTGTAAAAGTCACAACAGAGATGACTGTTTAAATCTCTTGGATTCATAAAAGTGTTTCTTTACCTAGTACTTTCCTGTATTGAAATAAGGAAAGGATGTCAAAGAAGATAAAGACTTTATATAGTTCCTGACTGTGGTACCTACCACATTTGTACTTAACAGGTCACTGTTACCACATTTTACCATTTTAGAATGCTTGATATTATTCAATGAACAAATATATAATTTATAGCAAACTATATATTATATTTTGATTTAGGAATTAAACCATGATAAAATTTGTAAAATAAACAAAGTTCAACCCCCATAATTGTAACTTACAGCACATTACTCAGGCGTTTTAGTTGTTAAAAGTACATGGACAGCCAGGGATTTAGCTCAGTGGTTCGGTGGCCTGCCTTGCAAGCGTAAGGACCTGAGTTCAATCTCCGGTACCAAAAAAAAAAAAAAAAAAAAACAATGTATATGACTAGTTATGCACAGAAAACAAAGCAACTGAGAATAACACAGAATCAACTAAACAAACAGTGTAACCTTAGAACTCATGAACTTAAAAAAAGATCACCTATGAGATGACATAGTACTTTTGCTAAAGACAAAGGCAGCTTATAACCTATGATTTTATTATTTCTGTAAGAAGCAGCTGAATGCTTCACATAAGATTAGGTACCAACTCACAGCACCATGTGTCATAAGTATTTGTCCAAGGGAAACTCATAACTGTGTTATGTCCCCGTAAAGCCTCATAAACCCATAAATGGGGCATTTTGGAGGTGACTGGATATAATGTGTATGAATGTGGATTAAGTGTATGATACTGGAATTAAGGGTGTGTGATAATGGATTAGTACAACTATTATCATAGTTCTGATTGTGGGTAACGGGAAGCTCCACCCTGGACGTGGGTGGCACAACCCAAAAGGCTTATAGCCTGCATGGAATATAAGGGGACAGAAGGAAAGTGGGCTCCCAGCTTGCTGCTGTTGCCTTCTGCTTGTTTTGCCATGAACTGTTTTTCCTCTGTAATGTTGCTCTGCTATGTCATTCTGCTTTGTAGCCAGCCAACTATAGACTGAAACCTCCACAAACTGTGAGCTGAAATAAACCTTTCCTCATTTAACTTGTGGGCATTGGGTATTTTGTCTCAGCAATGAGAAAATTAATTAAGACACGTTGTATTGGAAAAAATTCAGGATTTGGAATTAGAATACTTTGAGATCAAGTTCTGTCCATTTCTTGCTATAGGATTTTCGATAAGTTTCTAAACATTTCTTAATCTCAGTTCTTCAGTTATAAAAATGAGGTTAGTATTAATAATGTGTATTGGGCCCAGGTACCAAAAAAAAAAGTCTACCTATTGTTACAGTTGTGAAGGTAAACAACTGGGGGATAGCATATGAAAGTGTTTTATAACAAGATACACAAGTGTTCAATGATCGAACTTTTTTTTTGGTATCAGGGATTGAACTTGGGACCTTGCGCTTGCAAGGCAAGTGGTGGCACCACTAAGCTAAATCCTTGGCCCAATAGAACTCTTTTTTAAAAGTCTGGAATTGGAGACTGCTTCACAAAAAGTAACCTCTTTCTGATGTGCTGCTATACCTAAATTTAAATTTTTCTGCTTAGCAAACTAAGGCTCAGATATGAATTTTTTCATTGTAGATTTATTTCAAACTAGGTTAAAATTTGATAAATCTGTGATTTCTATTAGAGTTTGGGCTTCTTAATACCAAAATAAGAGCTATTATCACTTGTGACTGCTATAAGTAAATGTCTTCAGAAAGGCTGATAGCTGAAGATGGTCCAGTCAATTTTCTAGTCATCAGCAGGAGGAGGTAAGGGTGTTCCCTGTGTTAGGATATCTTTGGAATGGAACTATTTTCTTTTGTAATGATGGATCTGGGCCTACTTTGTTTTTCTTTCCAACAAAAATGCTTTCCTATGAATTTGGGATTCTAGGAAAGAACCCAGTCCTGAATAATCTAACTGGGCGAAAATTCAGAAACTTTGCTTTCTCACTCTGCTCCCCCCCTCAGTGCCTTTCTATGCCCTTATTCAGCCTCATTTATCCCAAGTACAGTTTGTGATAACTATTACAAGTCCCTAGTAAAAATTTCTGCCAACTATTCCTTTATTTGGAACAGCATTTAATATCTACTCTTTGGAATTAGCAACATGAGCAAATGTTCATGGCACAGAAGCAGTTATAGCATCTGGTGCAGACAAAGTATAGGGCTGTTAGTGAAGATACATAATATAAAAATTTGCAGCTCTTCACACAAAGTCTCAAGATAACCCCATGATGCGATGGGAGAATGATGGAAAGGAAACATTCTGCTTCCTTGGTTTTCTTTCAGGCCTACCACATACACATATAGGCTTATCTCTATATATGTTTTTTTTTCTTCTTCTAGTGTTCTTAAACTATCCTAAAACACAACAAGTATAAGACACTAAATAACACTGAATATGAATAGAAGGTAGAGAAAGGTGAGTTGTTCATTTATTGAATGAAAAGGTTGAACTCAACCAAAACATCACATTTATAGCACTGGTTATTATGTTTCCCAATTTACCTGACTAGTTTTAAGTCATGGTGTCACAAGGCTAGTAAGGCGCCTCCAAGGTGCCATCAATCCTATCTAAGTTACCCATGTTTGCTAAATAAATCTGACCATACCTCCCTTCAGGAGGCATGTAAAATATTGACAGACTGATGGAATCTTTCTGGACACAATTCACTATACAGCACATTGGTTGTGTTAGTATAGTTCTTATAGTGTTTGCTCTGTTGGTTGAGAAAAGACTTCTTTCTGAGCCCACTTACCTCGATTATCATCCTCATTATCTTCCCAGGGTTCTTCATTTGCTAACAGTGGGTTCTGGGACTCATTCATGGACCTCATAGGGAAGGAGTGTCCATCACCAGGGCTGGTGAGGAGAAGAAGGTAGTGAATATTGCAGCTATATAGCCTTTTATGAAAGTAATAACCCTCTTAGAAACAGCAGAGGGATCCTTAGAAATATTTAGTCTTAATGTCAAAAGCCATGATGAAATAGGCTCTTATGATAGCTTCATTTAGCTGCTGTATTGTTCTCCATTTCCATATCTGCATTAGTGTTGATTGTGTTTGTAAGAACTTGCTTTCCCCAATGCCCAGTATAGTAATATGTGCATATGGCAAGCTTCATGAGTATCATTTAGTGATATGATCCCAATTATATCCTGCTGTCTTACTGTTTTGATTCTAAATTTTCAGGGAAGATGAGCAAACTCAGAATCATTGAATACAGTGGAGATAAGCTTCTGTGAATTGGCGATAATGTCCAAGTGCCCTATTATTCATTTGGCTTGTATAGCAGAAAGGAAGTAGGGGAAAGACCCAGAGTGAGTTTTTTATAGAGGACAGATTAGCACTTGTTCAAATGTGGGCCTACTTTGTGGCTTTCCATGATAAATTAAGGTTACTTCCTTGATTATTTCTGGCCATTAACAGATTGGATGCACTGGAAGGAACTGCAGTGGTCCTGGCTATACAGGGTTATAGTTTGAACATTTTCATCTATATATCTGAATGCATTCCAAAGTTAAACCTGACTTTTGGATTATTCATCTGATATTACGTATGTCTTTCCTCTTCTACATGAATGTGCTTAATTGAACATTAATAGATTTTAGTTATAGTTTTCTATAGAGAATTTAAGGATACTGTTTACAAGTGAATATTCTATTATATTTGTTTTTATTTTGTTTCTTGAGTCTCCTGTGGCACAAAAAGACTCACTTTAGATCTTCCTTTGATGTGGTGATTGCATATAAATAATTACACATATATGTGTGTGAACAGGGTGTAGATAATTGCTGGTAATAGCTATTAATCAACATCACCCAATGATATTGATTTGTCTTGTGATTTATACCCTGGATAGTAGAGTATATCACATTTTATGCAATTAAGCCTATAAAACACTAACTGGTACAGGGGAAGTATCAGTGCAATGCGTGAAGGGGAGGAGAAAGTTTTCCGTAATTACCATCTAACCTCTGCAAAGCTTTCTCAAATAAGTGAAGATGAATGAATCTCTGTATGAGACCGGATCTAAAGGGATGCAAAAATGGCTGTAAAGAAGCTGTGTTCCAGTGGTAGTTTAGTTGATGGTGGAATCAGAGGACACAAGATTGTTTAGCTCAATTCATTTCTCATTCACTGCTTTCCCTGCATTCTTGTTGCAGTCATAAGAATTATTTATAATCTGTAAATTAACCTGTTTGTTCTTGCTTTTATTTTTCCTTCATAAAAGTAATATTAGTATTTAACTCCAAATATGAAAAATAGAGAAAAGAAAAATAATTTCAGAGACTGTAGCCCTTACACCTTTTAGGAGTTTTTGGTATATTTCTCCTGTTGTTCTTCTGTATATATTTGTTCATATTTCCTATCAGTATACATGCCGTTTTGGATTTTACATTATTCATTTAAAATACAGTGAGCATTTTCCCTTACTGTAACATAATCTTTATAACCACTATTGACTACATAATATTCCATCTTATCTTTATATATTTTTATTCACTCATTCTTATATTGGATATTTAAGTAAAGACAGTCTTTACTGACCTAGAAATGGAATAGCTTCATGATTTGTTTTTACTAACTGAGAAATGAAAAACTTGGAGAATGAACTGTCATACTGATAAGGAAATAATGCACAACAGGGCAGGCCTTTGCCCTCCCCAATGTTTTTGCCATAAAATGTTCTGTTGAGCAATGTAACTGTGCTGAGTGATGCTTTTGCCCAGTGTATCAAAATGTTCTGTTCAAGCAATGTAACTGTGCTGCATGATGTTTCTACCTCAGATTTCAAGAATGTTCTGTTAACTCCACCCTCAAGGAGCATGCTCACCCAGTAGGTGGGCCCACCCCCTACTCCACAGATCTCTACATAAGGCTGTTTCCATTTCTGTTCAGGGCTTAGATTTCAGAGTATGAACTCCTATGAGCCCATCAACGTAATAAAATTTCCGTTCATCTCTCTGAGGGCTGTTCAACTTCTTTACCTCAAGAGACCTTTGGATAGCCATAACACTTGGCTTAACTCAGAACTGTGACACTTGGCTATAATGATGACTGTCACATTTTGCTGCAACAATATTAGACCTGCTGCATACTAATAAAAGTTGAATTTTTTGCTTCAAGGTGTAGTCCAGCATCAACCTCTTTCAATGGTAATAATTACCTACCTGGACCCAATAGGTATTAACCAGAACTTCTTATTATCTCCAAACACCTGCTGGATATTTTTGATGAAGCCAAGGTTGAATCCATTTTTTTCTGGGCCACTAGTAAACACTGGAGTGCAGAAGGCCTCTAGGTCAGGGCAGGAGAGTTGAAGAAAAGAGGAAAAAAGCAAAACAGGAACAAATTTCAGCATAGTCATGATTTTACAATTCTCCACGAATGTGACTTGGTTTTATATCTTTTTGCTGTGTTATTATAGGCTCCTCAGTCTCAGTTATCACTAAACTACATAATAAAAAGTAGTTCAATATCATAATAAAACATAAATTTATTCAATATAAAGAATTACTGTTCTTATTTTTAAAAAGGCAAGAGAAACACATTGACAGTAGAAATAATTAAGCAGCCATAGGAATGGTATGTATTTGTACTGCTGGATTTAAGGAGTGAAGGAACAGATTTAACAGCACTTTATTTGAATCTAAGTGGCAACAACAGCCAAATGGTCTCCATCTGTAAAGCTGGGACCAAAGTAATGGCACATAAAGAGATGGTAATGACATTGATTTGGTTTTGAAACATTTCAGAAATGAAAATGTTCATACAAAAGCCTGCAATATAAGAAACTGAGTTTTACTTCTGATAAAATTTCAATGGATGAGCTATAATCACCTCAATGAGTATGTGGAATTGGGTTACACTAATGCACATTATTTTTACACGCACATTTATCCCATTAAGCAAACACTTTCACTGTTGGACTCCTCTGTATCTGACCATTTTCCATTTGTTCTTTCCTTTTCAGACCCTGTTATCACAAAGCTTTAAGTACTTTTCTACTTTGTAAGTCATCTCTAAGCCAAAAGGGCTAATTTGCCACCCTACTAACCAAGTGCTATATAGCTATTTGATTTAGAAAACGGGTGCAAATAGTTTCACATGTGCCTGTGTTATTGGCAAATGAATTCTAAAAGTATAGTGGCTTTTGTACCAAACATTTCATGCTTTTGCATCAAATCTCTCCTGGTTAGACAGTCAGCATTGAAAAGTTTCTCCTCACTCCTTGTGTACTGATTTATAGACAATTTAAATATTTGTTTCACTAAAGATGAAACAATTGCTGCACTGGAGTCCAGCAGAGATATACTATTCCAGATAACAAGCCTAGAGAATTGAATAATCGACAGCAAATATGTTTATTTCTTGGACTTATTTTCTAGAGACTTACATGTTCAATGTGTTTATCTCATTTCTAGTCCCTACACAGTTTCTTCATGAATGTAGATATTCTAGGAGATGATTCTTTTTAAGACTTCTGAGTTCTCATTATTGATTTGGATTATTTCTCAGGATTCTGTCTGGGGATGTGCTCAATAAAATAGATTCTTCTACCTTTATTGACCTGCATGCCTTTCTTTTAATGTTCCCTTCTCTGTTGATTCTTCCCTTCTCTATTGTTGCTTTTCATTTCATCCTTTGAGTACCTTTTAGAAATCTGATTTGTGAAACTAGGGAGCTACTACTCTGTACAGATTATGGAAATCACACTTGTTTTTTGGTACCGGGGATCAAACTCAGGACTTTGCACCTGTGAGGCAGGCGAGAGCACCACTGAGCTAAATCCCCGGCCCTCTGTACAGATTATAAACAGCATTCACTAATGTTCTCGTAAGTCTGTAAGCTTCATTCACTATATATATTTTCATCTATCTCAGTTTTCAGGCAAAGAGATGTCACACAGTTAAAATATTTCATTAGAAATTTTTTCTCTTACTTGGGAACAGTCCGCAGGTCAATCTAATATACATCAATATGTTTTTCCCTACTCTTAATATTCATTCTTACCTAAGGTAGTTTTGTTTCTGCTGACAAGCCAACAATGGTAACCAAATAGAATCACAAGGCTGACAAAAAACATGCAGGCCACAAAGAGGAGAAAAAGGACATGGAACTTAGAGCGAACACTGGGCAATTCCCCCTAGAAAAGAAATAATAAACAAACAAAATAAAAGATTAAAGTGGTAAAGCTTAACTAATTTTTCTATATAGGTTTGCATGTGTATAAAACATTAGCTATAATTTTAAAATAAATTTTGTAAAATTTTTACATTGTTCTGTCTGTTGATGATATCTCATTATGGATATGATCTTAGCCTACAAAGTCTAAAATGGACCCTTACTTAAGTGCAGTTCAGTATAAAATAGGATATGTAATGTACCAATTAGAAAAGGATGATATGAAAAGTATATACCAAGGTCATAGTGAAATAAAGCCTGCATTTCACTTGGTTGGAAAATTATGAATCATTGGTTAGAAATGATCTTGAGGTCATATAGCTCATTTTCTTGGCTGGTTATTCTGGAATTCTTTATATGTCATATTTCCTTGGAAATGTCACAGTGATGAATGCAGAAATTTAAAACACATAGACAGAATTTTTAAATGTCCTACCTAAAGTCATGATCTAATTTTAAAGCTGCTGCAAATTTTATATGTTTTTTTTATAACTAAAGTGAAATGTGCTGTGGTATTACATCCTGTATAATAGCTGTTTAGACAGTAAAAATCAAGCAGAATATTACAGTCAACTGTAAAAGTAGATGGTTAGAGATTTTTACAGTAATTAGAACCTTATTTTCCATATTGCATGAGCTTTTAAAACTTGTAATTCTAGAACAAAATGAATGTTCAAAGGTTCTTTACTGTGTATAGAATGTAATAAATATTTTGTCTTCTGAAGAGAATTTTAGAAAACATTTTCAATTTTCAAGCAGTTGAAAGAATAACTACTAATTCCTCCTTTCCAATCATCAGTGTTTTAGCATGATGAATTACTCTGAACTATTTCCAAGTGTTCTGCAGTAATAAAATTAAAAGTTATTCTTAAGTGAAGTGGACTTTAACTTCCTAATGATGCTTTTCTCCAGTTTTAGAGTAGAAAGTTAATGTGTGGGAACACTTGACAAGGTTAGATTGTAAAGGTTCTTCTATAAGAGGACATTTTAATACATTTTTATGTAAGACAATATTGGGAATCTTCCAGGGTATATATGTTTGAAGGATGAAGATGAGGGGAAGTAAATGAGTCAGATGCTTTCAGCTGAGGGGGAAAGCTAGGTGAAATTTCTGTGTATGTGGGTGGGGGGCGCAGGGCAGTCTGGGAAACAGCTACCTCAAGGATTTTAGAAACCTTTATCTGAAACTGTCCGTTTGATACTGCTTTACAGTGGTTTTGTCTTCACTGAAATTTTGCTTTCATAATTTGCACCTTTTTAGTAGTTTATAAAAACATTCACTATTCACATTAATTTTACTTATTTTTCACATTTAAGTGGGCAATAGGAAATGGCTGGGCAAGTGGGACTGATACAATAAAGTCAGTCCACATCTTGTGTAGCTGGAAGCTATTTTCCCTTCTAATTACTATTTCAGAACTTCTAATTACTAAAGCATATCTATAATGTTGTCCCTTAATAGTGTTCTTAATATGAAAAATTTTCTGTTCAAAGAGGGCGACAGCCCTGTGTTCAAAAATACTTTCTCAGGAGATAACCAAACTAAATTACTGAAGCAATAATCATCAGAGTCAGTTCAGAAAAGTATTAATAGAATAATGCTATTATCAGGGTTCTGAAATAATTCATAGCCTCTGTTAGGAGATTCACGGCCCTGGTGTGGTAAGTAAAGATCAATCTCCTATAAAATTAGCAATTTTTCACATTGAGAGGAAAGAAACAATCTCATGGTATTCTGAATTCTTTATCCCAAAAGAGGCAAAGCTTCTCCACAGTAGGACCACAAAGGGCAGCAGAACATGCTGCAGTGTGCAAGATCACTGGGCTTAGGGTCAGACTTAGGTTCAAGTCCTGACTTTGAAATTTATAAGCTAGCTGATCTTGGGAAAGTCACTTGACCATTATGAGTCTCAGCTTTATCATCTTTGAATGAGAGGAATAATTTTTCTTTGCCTACTTAGTGGGCTGTGGTGAGGGTGGTGAGGATCAGAAAAAGTAATGGGTTGAAAGTACTTCAAAAACTGTAAAGTACCATACAAATAGAGGTATCTATTCTTAGAAGTACAGCTGGTCTCCTTGATGCATGGCTTTTAAAATACATGGCAGTGTTTACTTTTTATTTTAAGGAGAGACCCAGTTTAAATTGAAAAAGCTACTTGTAACCCTCACTAAAGTGTTCCTTGACTGGAGAGACTACAAAGAAGCATTTTCTTAAAAAAAAAAAAAAAAAAAAAAAAAAAAAAGCATTTTCCTGAACTGTCAATGCCATTTTCAATTTGAGGGCAAATCAATACAGGATGCTTCTTCTCTCACACATCAGGCATGAGCTGGGCTACTGCAGAGAAAAACTGAGGGAATAGGCAAAGAATAAGGCTATGTTCACCGCAACTATTGCTCGCAAATACTGGCATATTTCTGGTGATTAATTCATAACCAACTATCTTCTATCGAGAATGAAATAAAACACACAACACCTGGTTGGCATCGTGGTATTTGATTACTGGCTGACTAGGATAGTTGATGGTAAAATGGGTAAAATGCAATATTTACTTTGTTATGAGGGTAAAGGATGGTTCTTGAACGGTTGCCTACTGTCTTAAGGACTGAGAAAGGTCTAAAGATCAAAGCTGACACTGTGTGGTGACTGGATGTAGCAGATTACTTTTCACATTTATAATAGTAGCTCAACATGTGGATTGAATGCCAAATAGGTCATGCAAAACTGATAATAGAGTTTGTACCATGGAAAGAGGCCAAAGAAGAAATATTGAGATGTGTATAATGGTGAAATGTTTTCTATACAGAAAATTTGTGTGAAAAGTATGTCATTTCTCTTGTAGTTTTCTTTACGTATTTCAATTAAAGATTTTTTGTATCTATGATGTAATTATTGATACCTAAAGTTGTTAAATACCTGAGTCAATTAACCAAGTTGAAGGGAAAATGGAAAGAATACATCATTATAATTACCTATACTATATTTTCTACCTTAGTAGGAATAAAACACTAATTTATAATTTAAATATTTTCAGCTATTTAGTTTCTCACTGCCTTGTCTTTTTTTGTGTTTTCTCCAGTTTATTACAATTTATATTATTTTCATAGGATTCACCTTCTTTCCCTATTACTTTCCTTCTCCAGCTAAGGTGAGATATTCCTACTATGCAGGCTCTTTTGTAATTCTTAAAGTAATAACTTTTAGATATAGCCTCATTTATATTTTACTATTTAGGTTTAGTTTGGATATCCCTCATCATGGATATATTGATAACCGTACTGGAATTATGGAGAAGGGATATCTTCTGGAGTCCATTGTCATGAAATATAAAAGAATATATTTCTCTATACGTCTGCCATCCCTGTACATATATGTAATTGGAAACTCTGCTTTAACTTTTTTTGAAATAAATGAAGTATGATTGATATTTCCAAGTAGAAAAAAGATGAAAGTGAGATTTTATTATAATTGTTAAGATCACATTTTGAAAGAAAAACCACTTTCAACATGTTTCATTTGATCTTGGTAATGAGCGAATGAAGCAAGTGACAGAGTATTACATCCCAGCTTGCCTAATTGAAAATCCAGTGTGTGTCACAAAAAGTTCAAAAAAGTATATCTTAAAGAATCAGTAGGAATCAAGAAGCTAGGTTTCTGAAAGTCTTAGCAAGACTTCATATATGTCAGAAATTTGTTTAAATAAAATCTGTATTTCTTAAATCTCAGAGTATTCAAGTGTCTTTCCTTCTGGTTATTCCAGTATTAGTTATTTCAAAATGTGAAAAGATATAGGGGCATAATGTCATGTACTGGAGTGAGTGTGCATTTGCTCAGAGGGGGATCATTAGGACATTTTTTTAATAACTTACTCTCCAATATTTGATGAAATAGCTGAAGACTGTTGTAGCAATATACAGGCAGTAGAGAACAGAATAAGCTAAGAACTGAAGGAAGAATTTGTAGTTGGAAAATCCAATGCAGTTATTAACCCTAAAAGAAAAAAAACCAGAAAAACGGATTTGAAACCAGGACTTATTGATTGAGAATACGCTGACACCTAAGTGGACTAAGCAATGGAAGCACATCAGTCCTGCTGTTTCATGATGTGTTAGGCAGAAACCCAACAGAGACAGAAGTCTCTTAATAAGAACAGAATGAAAAAAAAAGTTGACCTCTCACTTGTTTCTCATTTTATTGACGGGCACAGAAACGCCTGGCTTAGCTCTGGGCTGGTTCCTGACAACCCCAAGCAAACCTGGATCGTGGTTACTAAATACTTATTAAATTCTTATCAGCTGTGCTTGGTACAGGTGTGACATGTTCTCTTTGTAATTAGGTAATTTCACACTGGTTCTCTGGTTCAGACATAAAATTTGAAGAACTGCTGAAATTAACAACTTAGAATATTTCAAACATCATGCCAACAAAAACAGAAATGAATTATATACTGCAGAAGAGATATACTTTTCTGTATTTCATCACTAAGCTTAATTGCCAAAGTTAATGGATAGGAGACTACTAGATTTGTGATCCCAGAAATTCAGTACCATGCTTTTGGAAGTATATTTATTCTTCCTTTTCCCCCACACAAATACAAAGCCCAGTGAATTATAATGACTGAAATAGGCATATTACAACTGCTTAAGAAAGTGGCCATACTTAGCAATTTTGGCCCTTTTGAGGAGAGAAATAAAAGAGACATACCAAGGGCAGTGATGGTCCATTTTTAAAACACACCTACAAATTGAACAAAATATGCAGAGTGAGGTTATGGAAATTAAGCAACACTTCAAAATTTAATTCAAGCTTTCACTAGTACTTTTACATGGTTTCAGTAAACCCATTCCCAGTTGTCTATTATAGTGACTCCAAACCTATTGTGTCCTCAGTTAGTCCTACTATGAGGCAGTTACCACAACATCTCACAAGATTTTGCTGGCAGCAAGTCACATGCCTTTAAAAGGGATTAGGAACTCAAGGATACTGACACAGACATGACTCTTCTAGTTTTTTTCAATAGTCAGTTTAACAAAATACAAAAGAAAATATATGGCTACAGCCTGTGTTTGAATCAAAGAGAAATATAAGTGGAATAAACACTCAAGAAGAAAGGATGAGGATTTTATGCAATAACATAAAAATGAGGTTTTACAAAGCTCAAACAGTTCCGTTCTGTGTTTTATACAGGGTCATGCTATGTATCCCAGGCTGGTCTTGAACTCATGAGCCTCCTGCCAGTCTCTCAAGTGCTGGTATTACAGGCATGTGCCACTGAACCCAGCTTCAAAGGTAGAACAGGTACAGCAATAAAAATATTAAACAGTATTTATAACATAAAATAGAAAATGAATATCCATGCCTCCATATTAATATAAATAAAGGATTGAATAAATAAAGAGATGTGGGTGAAGAGACACATCTCTCATGCAGAAGAATTCCAAATAATTTATGCAGATACTCCACCTTTGAGGAGAGGGAATGTAACCTTTCTTTCTTTCTCTTCTCTCTCTCTCTCTCTCTCTCTGTCTCTTGCAGCATCTCACTATGTGGTTCAAGCTGCACCTGAACTCATTATGGAGCCCAGGCTGTCTTCAAACTCATGGCAATCCTCTTGACTCAGCCTCCCAAGTTCTGGGATCACAGGTGTGCATGTGCCACTACTGCCAGCTTCACATTCTTTTGGTGTAGACTGTGCAATGACTTCTTCCAAAAGTATGGTATGAGGGGGGGGGTGCTAATTTTACAGTGGAGAAACTTGACAAACACTATGTGAGCCAGATGATCAAGATTAACATCAGAATGATTAAGTCATGTTTATATGTACCCTTGATATGATATAACAAGGATGGCACTTTAAATTTATGGTCTTCTTCCCAAATCACATTACCCCAGTCTAATGATCATGATAAAGGATCAAACAAATCCAAGTTGAGGGACATTCTACATAATACCTCATTATTTTTTTTCCTCATTGAGTTTATTGGTACATTCTAGGTATACAGTACAGTTACATTCATTATTGGGATCTTGTACCTTTACATGACAGGTCTTGGTTCTCATTTTTCCCCTTGTTCCTGCCCTCCCTTCACCCCCTCTTCTCCTCCCCATTTACAAACATTTTATTTCCAAATTTTGAACAAACTATAATAGTACATAAGGGAAAGAAAAAAAATAGGAAAAAAATGAAAAAATGGAAATAAAATGCCTCATTATTAATACTGAAAACTATCAAGATCATTAAAAATAAGTTAAAGTTAGATAAATTGTCACAGGTTTGAGGATTTAAGACGACTAAACGTAAGGCGGTATTCTGGATGGGATTCTAAAATAGAGAAAAGACATTAGGGGAAAACTAAACTTAAAAAATAAGTTATCATTTCTTCCTATTTCACATTTTCTATTATACATTTTGATCCTTATTTACACTTTCAGTATCTGAAGGGGAAGTTGGAGGGATAGGGGAAAGGAATAAATTCCAGAAAAGGAAAAAATGGAAACAAAGTCATTGTAAATAGGGAAGGGTGGTGGGGATGATGGTAGGACAGGGAGGAAAAAAATAAGAACCAAGATATATCATGTAAAGTTACAGATTCCCAGTGACGAATGTCATCATATTGTATACCTCATAAAATTAATGAAAAAAGAAGGCATTAGAGGTTATAAAGTTGAAAAAAAAAGGTATCAATATTGGTTCATTAATTTTAATGAATGTATCATAGTAATAGAAGGTGCTAATAATTGGGGAAATTGGATGTGATACATATGAGAGCTATCTCCACAGTATGTCTATAAACTACAAACTGTTCTAAAATAAAAACTTTATTTTGTAAATGTGGTTTTATTTCTCTGTCTTGAGAACAGCTTAAATTGTTATCTTCCCTGTGGCACTGTTTAGAACGTGCTCATCATGACCAAAAGGAAATGCTCTTATATAGCATGGTTACATGTTAGGATCAGTCATTTTGTTGTCTAGGCAACCATCCATGTCCAAGCTAAGCCCAGGAAAAATATGTCTGTCACTTACATGGCACAGACAGAGCAGTGATGGCAGCGGTCTGGCTTGATCAGATGGCACCGGTCACAGAATCGTACAGCTATAGGAAAAATCAGGTGATTAGCATTTGATAGGACACAGTGTAAGACCTTACATCTTACTAGTGTATGTGGATTGCTCATTATATACTGACTAAAGGTAGTAAAACTCATCACAAATTGGCAAGCAAAGATAATTAAGAGAATTGTGGTACATATTTTTCCCCTGTTGGATCAATCTTGTGTTCATTTCTACCGGTGGGGAGTGTGTGATCAAAAGTATAGGTATAATTGAGTCGAGGAAGAAGAGAGGCATTTCCATGTATGGAGCCTTTAGCACATTTTTACAGATCCTGTCAGTGCTGCAGCCCTAGTTTAAGTCATCATTATCTCTCACCTAGACACCTGCAAGAGTTGTATAATTGATCACTCCACCTTCATTCTTGCTCCCCCCAATTGCCTACTATACAAGAGCAGCTGAGTAATCTGTCAAAATGCAAACCAGACTGTCCACTTAAAACTCTTAATAGATTTCCAAAACCCTTACGACAGAATCCAGATTCTATCATGGTTGCATTATCTGGCCTCTGACTAGCCTTTCCACCTTGCCTTCTGCAGTGTGGGTTTGCTTCAATCAATATAGAGACGATTTGAATAAAAAAGCAGAGAAAAGGATAATTTGTTCTTTTTGAATGACTGCATGAGCAGAGACATTAGTCTTCCACCCTTATATGGGACCTAAACAACCAGGGATTCTGGTTCTTAGACCTTCAGACTTGGACTGGAGCTTACACCATCAGCCCTCTGTTTCCCAGGTTTTTGGACTTGGACTAAAACTTTCACTGTTGGTTCTCCTGATTTTCAGGCCTTTATGCTCAGATTGGGACTATACCACTTTTCTTGGGAATGCAGCTTACAGATGGCAGACAGTGGGATCTCTCAGCCTCCATAATTGTTTAAGCTAACATATCCCTTATTGTTTCTCTTCCTTTAGAGAACCCCCAAGTGATACACATTTTAACAGTTAGAGTGGCTCCAGAGGAACAGAAATTTAATAATGAGTTTTCTGAATTCGTTTTGTAGTTTGTGGAATTGGCTTTCTGATCTGATTAGATTTGAAGATACTAATGACTCTATTTAAAGTGGCAAAAGAAAAGGATGAGCTCAGGGATTTGAATTCCCTCCTCAGGTGCCACATAAATGACATAAAAGCTTCTATGATCGCCTGAAGATGCTTATCTCTTATAACGACAAGATTCAGATTTTTAAAAAAATCAAATGCAAAATTTCATTCTGGGAGTAGCTGGATTATTAAAGTAACTCCCAGTCATGTAGGGTGTCTACTATTAAAGAAAGGGCACTGATTTGAAAAGAAGAGAGGGGGAGCCAGAGAGGTGGAGCCCATAAATTTTGATAAACTTTCTTTCTCAGAAAAAGAGGCCATCCCATCCCTGGTGGAAGCAGCTTCCACATCACGACTGCTACTAGCTTCTCCACTTGTGTCTGAAGGGCTTACTCTTGCATTTCCAGATGAAGCTTAGGCTACTATGCAAGAAAATATTGATTCCCCTCAAAGTCTACCCCTATTTGTTCCGTACTTATAATTAGACTGAAGCATCAGCAGGCTCCAAATGGTGAGGTACAAAGTGTGACTCATGAGGAGGTGCAACTTGAGTTCTGTAGTTTATACAGGCAGAAATGCAGGGAATAAGTGTGGGAATGGATAATAATACACAGGATAACTGTAGACACAACATACAGTTAGATACAAATGAAAATATTGATATGGTGCCACAAAGCAGGCATTCTGCAGTTAATGTTGCAGCTAAGAGAGGCAGAAAAGGCTCTAACAGTTTGGTTGGTGAAAAATGGACCACAAAGCAGCCAACAGCGAATGAACTGGAAATGCCACACCTGTCTTGATTTAACATAGAGGAAGGACTTCAAGGCTAAAAGAGATTAAAGTGTTAGGGTAAATTTGTCATTTTAGACCTACTCATTTAAAAGGGTTTATATGACAAACGTTTCACCAATATCATGAAAAATAAATCTGTGTAGGGAACACCCGTGTTTGAAGAGCTGGGACTGCTCTTCTCTGTAGTCCAGATCTCACAGTGAGAACTATTGTCACTAAATTGGGAAAGCTAAATGCAGTAGGTGTAATTGGGTCCTGTGGTGGCACTGCCAAATGGTAGCAATCAGCCACTAAAAGCCAGGTAGGCATGGCTATCATTATGGACAGTAGAATCAAAGTAGCAGACAGAATAGTCTGACTCATGCAGAATTATGGCTTTGGCTAATCACAGTGTTTTAGACATGAAATAGGTGGGAAGATGACTGTGCTCTTACTTGATCTGTATATGCAGAAAAGTTCTAGGTCAACTGTTATAGTTTAAATCTAAAATGTCCCCAAAGTATCACATTCAGAAGTGGGAAATGGTTGGAAGGTTCAGATCACTGGGGAAATGACTTTGAAGGGTGTATTTCTGCTCCCACATCCTCCCTTCTTTGTTTTCTGGCAGCTATGTGGTGAACAGCTTTTCTCTGCCGTGCCATTCTACCACATTATTTTTGCCTTAGAGCCAGCCAACCATGGGCTGAATCTACTGAAAATATGAGCTAAAATAAACCTCTTGTCCTTTAAGTTCTGGGTGTTGGGTATTTTGTGTTGTGTATTTCCTAGTGATGGGAAAGTAACTGATAGGGTCAAATCAATGAAAGTCTAATTCCAATCCTAAAACTAGTCATGATTCCTCAATGAACTCCCAAACTTGAGCCAGTTTACACACTCAAAATGCCTTGAGTGAAGTGAAGATCAGATCCCTTGAGGAAAGACCCCAGGATGTTTCCAAAACTACTAAAACTTTACACTGTTAATCTTTTTCCCAGCCTTCACCAAAAGTTCTTCAGGTCTTTTATCAAGGTAATTTTGCCTTAAGGAGAAGGAAATAAACATCCCTTTAGAAGAATGCTGGATAACTGGCTCTGAACTAATTCCAGGAGATCTAAAACTTCAGTATGTTCCACCAGTCAGAGTTGGAACTCATGGAGGTCAGGTAATCAGTGAGGTTTTTAGCTCTGGTCTAACCCACAGTGTGTCTAATGGGTATCCAATGATTCTATGAATATTTTCCAAGTGTCTAGAATGCATAATAGGAGAAGACATACTGAGAAGCTGACAGAATCCCGACATTGGTTCCCTGACCTAGAGAGTGAAGTCTATTTTGTTGGGAAAGGCCAAGTAGAAGACAATGGAATTGCCTCTACCTAGGAAAATGGCAAGCCAAATCAATACTGTTCTTAGAGGGATTGCACAGATTAGTGCCATTATCAAGAACTTAAAAGATGTTGAGGTGATCATTTCTAACACATTCCCCATGCAACTAGCCTACCTGGCCTGTGTAGAAGACATATGTATCTTGGAGAATAGTCAGGTGGTAAGTCCAATTGTAGCTTCTGTACCAGATATGGTTTCATTGCTTGAGTAAAATAGCGTATTCCTTGGTACCAAGTATGCAGCTATTGTTCTGGCAAAAATCTTTATCTCTGTCCCTATCCATTAGACCCACAAGAGGCAATTTGCTTTCTGCTACCTCAGGAGTATATCAACTCTTCAGTGCTAAGTCACAGTTTAGTTTGCAGGGAACTTGACTATTTTTCTCTTCCAAAAGACATCATACTAGTCCATTATATTGAATACATGATGCTGATTTGACCTAGTGAGCAAGAAGTACCAATTATTCTACACTAATTGGCAAAACATTTGTGTGGCACAGGGTGAAAAATAAATTCAACAAAAATTCAGGGGCTTTCTACTTTAGTGAAATTTCTAGGGGTCCAGTGATGTTGGATATGTTGAGATACTTCTAAAGGTGAAGGATATGTCATTGAATTGATCCTCTCATAAAACAAAAAGTCACAATGCCTAGCTGCACTTACTGGATTTGGAAGATGCTATATTCCTCATTTGAGTATGGTACTTCTACCCTTTACTGAAGGACGTGAAATCTGATAATTTTGTGTGGGTCCCAGAATAAGAGCAGGCTCTGCAACAGTCTAGGCTATTGCATAAACTGCTTTGCTGCTTGGGCCACATGATGCAGCAGATACAAAAATGCTTGAAATGTCGGAGCCTTTGGCAGAACTTCATAGGTGAATTGTAGAGCAGGTCTTTCTTATGTTTGGAGCAAAGCCTCCACAGATAACTATTCTTCTGAGAAACACTTCTGGGCCTTCTATTGACTTGCAGTAGAGATTAAATGATTAACCATGATCCACCAAGCTATCATGTGACCTGATCTGCTCATCCCGAACTGGGTGTTATCTCATCCACCAAACCAAATTTGGGCATGCACAGCAATGCTCCATAATCAGATGGAAGTGGTATATATGGGATCAGGCCTGAGAATACTGTGAAGGTACAATAAGTTACATGAAGAAGTAGTCCAATTGCTCATGGCCCCCACCCCTGCCATACAACTAGTTTGTACTTATAGGCTCGTGAGGAGCTCACTATGAGCATTTGACTGAGGGGAAAAGACTCAAGCCTGGCATACAGATGGTTCTGCATTTCATGCAAGCATAATTTGAAAGTAGATAGTATATCACCTTTCTGTGACATACCTAAAGAATAGTTGTGAAGGGAAATCCTTCCAATGAGCAGAACTTTGAGTAGTGCACCTAGTTGTTCACTGCTTAGATGGAGAAGTGGCTAATCAAGTGATTATATACCAATGTATGGGCAGTGGCCACTGGTTAGGCCGATGGTTAGGAATTCAAAAGAAGGTATTTGGAAAATTGGTGACAAGGAAACCTGGGGAAGAGATACATAGAGAAACCTCTCTGAATGGGCAAAAAGCATGGATGTTGGTGTCTCATGTAAATGTTCACAAAAGTTTGATTATATGCCTTAATCATTTGGCACTACTATAACAAAATACCATAGCCTGAGTAGCTTCTGAACAATAAATTTAATTCACACTCTTTTGAATGCTAGAATGTCCAAGGTCAAGGTATCATTAGATTAGGTACTTGTGAGAGTCTGTCTCATAAATAGCACCAA